TGGCCCAGCTGAGGGGGGTGACCCCGCCGTTGACGACATGGCGGCCACTCGCCGCTCTCCACGCTTGGAGACCCCCCCTGGTTTTCCGCCTCGGCGTCTTTGCCGCCTCGGAGCCTGCTGTTGTGGACTCTAGAGCTGAGACTGTTGGTGCTGAGTCTGGGGGTGCTGAGACAGAGGGTGAGGGTTCTAAGGGTGCTGCGATTGGGGGTGCTGCGATTGGGGGTGCTGCGACTGGGGGTGCTGGTTCTGGGGGTGCTGCGACTGGGGGTGCTGGTTCTTGGGGTGCTGCGACTGGGGGTGCTGACTCTGGGGGTACTGCGAGTCCTAGTGGCGGTGGAGCTATGGGTGACCCTGCTGGAGGTCCTGGAGCTGGACAGCCACCGCAGCCTGATCTACTTGAGACGCTCTCGCCGTAGGCGATTCGTACGTGGATCGTTCAGCGAGGCAGTCCTGGTGGTGGAGCGTACGGTCTTGCTGGTGCTAGAGATGCTAGTCCTGGAGGTACTGCTGGTGCTGGAGGTGCTGCTGGTGCTGGAGGTACTAGAGGTGCTGCTGGTGCTGGAGGTGCCGGAGCTACTAGTCCTAGAGGTGCTACTGGTGCTGGAGGTGCTGGACCTACTAGTACTGGAGGTACAGCTGGTGCTGTAGGTGCTGGAGGTGCTGGAGGTACTGGAGCTGCTGGTCCTGGAGGTGCTCGTATTGGAGGTGCTGGAGCTGCCGGAGCTGGTGGTGCTGTTCGTGCTGGAGGTGCTACTGGAGCTACTGGTAGTGGAGTTGCTGGAGGTACTTGCTGGTGCTGGAGGCGCTGGAAGCTGAGGTACTGGAGGTGCTAGAGCTGCTGGTCCTGGAGGTGCTCGTACTAGAGGTGCTAGAGCTGTCGGAGAAGGTGGTGCTGCTGGTGCTGGAGGTGCTGGAGGTGCTACTGGAGCTACTGGAGCTACTGGCACTGGAGGTATTGGTGCTGCTGGTGCTGGAGGAGCTGGAGCTGCTGGTTCTGCCCCGCGCCGACTATTTTTCTACCCGCAGCCGCAGTCGTCCCTGCCGCCGCCTGACTCGGTCCTTCGCCGGGTTCTTAGTCTCCCGTCTTCCACTGGCCTCACTCCACCTCTCATGTGTTCACCGACAGACCAGTCTTAGCCACAGCTACTGCTTGGCTCCTTGCTGCCTGCTCCTGCTCCTCACACTGAGGTGACTGAGTCCCTGACTCAGCGTTGTGAGCCTAAGACTCGTGCTTCCACACCTGTTCGTGCTCGTCGTGTCACTTGTCCTCGTCCTCCTGCTGTCCCAGGCACTCACGGTATGGCACTTCGTCCTTCCTCTGTTCCACAGCGTGTTGTCCTGCCTGAGCCTCCCGCGTCCTCTCTTCCGCATGTTAGTGACCCTGAGTCCGACATTGCTCGTGCTGCCAGTCCTACTGTCACTCGTCTCCTCGCTAATGTCGTCACTGACCCAGACCTTGAGTCTACTGAAGCGTTTGCCCTAGTCACTGAGCTAGTCGACTTTGCAGCTAGGAGTCGACTCGACTACGTCACGAGTCTTGTTACTGAGTCTGACTCTGTCTGTCCTTCGTCCATCGGGGGTGAGCCTGCCCTTAGGAAAGACATCCTTGAGGACAGACAGTTTGAGATTGAGTGTCTTGCGGCCACTTTGCCTCGTTTCGCATCCATGTTGCTTTGCCGTGAGGGAGACCCGGATGCACTTGACGTCCCTACCCCGCGCTCTTACGCTGAGGCGATCGCGGATGAGTACTCCTCTCAGTGGCAGACAGCCATGGACGCAGAGATGGCATCCTGGAAGTCCACAGGCACCTACGTCGACGAGGTTCCTCCTCCTGGGGCGAACATAGTCGATGGCATGTGGATTTTCAGAGTGAAGCGGCCTCCGGGTTCTCCGCATGCCTTCAAGGCGCATTACGTTGCTCGAGGCTTCAGTCAGTGTCAGGGGGTCGACTTCTTCCATACCTTCTCCCCCACCCCAAAGATGACCACTCTTCGGGTGCTGCTGCACGTCGCTGCTAAGCGTGACTATGAGCTGCACTCTCTTGACTTCAGTACATCTTTCTTGCAGGGCAGCCTGCACGAGGAGATCTGGCTGCGCCGCCCACCTGGCTTCACTTGGTCGTTTCCTGCAGTTACCCAGTGGAGCCTCCAGCGGCTAGTCTATGGTCTCCGCCAGGCGCCCCGAGCATGGCACGACACCCTTGGGACTACACTTGCGGCTCTTGGGTTTGTTCCTTCCTCTGGTGGCCCGTCGCTGTTTCTGCGCACAAACACTACCCTGCCACCGTTCTACATTTTTTGCTACTGCTAACACTGAGGCGCTGGCCTTAGTGAAGGCGGAGCTACAGGAGAGACACACCTGCACTGACCTGGGTGAGTTGTGTAGCTATCTTGGCTTGCATATCACCCGGGACAGAGCACGGCGCACCATCACCCTGACTCAGTCACACATGGTGCACCAGGTCCTTCAGCGCTTTGGCTTCCAGTTTTCCTCACCATAGCCCACTCGTCTGTCTACCGGCCACTCGCTCTCAGCTCCACCTTCGGACGAGTCCGTAGAGCCGAGTGGTCCGTATCCAGAGCTTGTGGGTTGCCTCATGTACCTGATGACGTGCACACGACCTGACCTCGCGTACCCTCTCAGCCTCCTGGCTCGCTACGTGGCTCTCGGTAGACACTGAAAGGTGCACTGGGATGCTGCGAAGAGGGTACTGCGTTACTTATGCAGTACATCGTGCATGGGGCTCGTGCTTGGAGGACAGGGTTCAGTGGTACTTACAGTACACTCCAACGCTCCAACGCTTCTTGGGCCGACGACCAGGCGAGTCAACGTTCGTCACAGGGTTACACCTTCGTGGAGGTCTTGTCTCTGGTTTTGTCTCTTGGAGGTCCACTCGTTCTTCTTCTGTGCTTGGTTCCAGCTGTGAGGCCGAGATCTACGCTAGGGCCATGGCTGCACATGAGCTACGCTGGCCGACCTACCTGCTGATCGACTTGGGGGAGCGGCCTCGTTCTCCTCCAGTTCTGTACGTCGACAACAAGACAATTCTTGCCTTGTGTCATGAGTAGAGGCTGGAGCACATAACGAAGCACATTGCTCTTCGCTATTTCCTTGCGCGTGAGCTGCAGCAGCGTCGTCAGGTCCGCCTTTCCTACGTGGCCTCGCGGGCCAATACTGTTGATGTGTTCACCAAGGCCCTTGTGTCTGGTGATCATCAGCGTTTCTGCACTGCTCTTGGGCTTGTGCCCACTCTGCCTCACCTGCTAGTTGCTTGACTTGCTCTTGTTGTACACTTATATATATCTTTGTACCTGCTTGTTGACTCTTGCTAGGTTGTGACAAGTGTACGTCCTTGCTATTATAACTGTGCATGTGAACTTGTCTTGTGTCCGCTTGCTTGTGCTCCGATTGTGTGGTGTCCTTGAGATCCACCCTAAGCTTTGCTTTGCTTTGTTTTCTTGTTTGACTGGTCTTGTGACCGTCTCTGTTGTGTTTGCTATCTGCCACATAGCCTATGGGGGTTTGTCAAACTATATGTTTGTGTTCTGTCTAGGCTATAGTGGGTTAGCCTACAAGGGGTACAACACTTTAGGGTTAGTACTTGTACCCAGCTCATTCATAGTTCATCCATTCCTTCACAGTTATTATGACAGTGCAATATTCACTCGCTTTCTGACTTGCACCCGTAATACCAATTAAACAATGCCTTAGTTGTTTCTTGCCGACCCGATCATACGCTTGAAAAAAAAAACGCTTGAGCCTCAAGGCCAGCACTGCATCGTAGCTAACATATTTCGCGTCATGAGCATTCGCTGTGGCACTCCTTGTTTGCTCATGGATTCACTCACATTGCATATTCTCCTTTCCTAGTTTATGGAGTCCGTGTCGGGTATTGAGTTGAGAAATACACTTCAACAACATATGTGACTGAATACTGGAAGGAAAATGGCCCTCAGGCAGTTCTTGTGGTCTTCTGTGACTGGATACGGGGCATTCATGCTGCTCCTCCCACCCTACCTTGGCAGCGTTTGGTTCTTGCTCCTGCTGCATCGTGTGGTCAACCCCAATCTGCAAATCAAAATCGTAGAAAGATGGAAGTGAACAGTTGCTTGATTTTTGAAGAGAACCATCACATGTGCGACTCGCAACAAATGTCTATCTGAATTTCAGGTTGATAAACCACCTGGGCGAGTTCTGTAAGAGGTGCGAATTCTTTTTTTCCGATTATTTTCTTTCGGGAGTTCGCTTCCGTTTGGTTATGAATTTAGCACTGCAAAGATTGTGACTTTTGTGTCCTCTCAAAAGTTTGGTTAGAATCTAAATTGATTCAGACTCGACTGATAGGACGCATCGCATGCAGGTCCCGTGGATGTTTGAACAGACAGCCGTACCATTTTTGTTCTGTAGCAGGCACTTGCGATATACACCTGAGGGGTCAGGAGTTTTCAACGATGTTCGCAAATCTACTGGATTCGAGACATGACAAATGATGCGGCTCGCTCAACGACCTCTCCCCCTAACAGAATGGCTCTCCATTGGTCTGGCGACGACATGTCCAACCCACCATGAGACCCATGCCATGTGACCACGCCCATCTGCGGAAGCCAAACCGCATGGTGCAGTTGCATCCTCCTCCATGCATCCGCATCCATGCATCGGCCTCTGTCGCAGTCAACATTTCAGGGGTATCCTCAGGCAGTCTGTGCACTGCGCTTCCAGCAGAAGTATTTTCTGTTGCGAACTCATCTTTTCACTAAGTGTTTGAGAGGCATCAGCTAGAATATGCCAGCCAACACAAGAGGCTCCTCTCTTTGACCAAATTTGTGCTAGCAGTACCACACAACAACAGAGCCTCACATTACTTTGATAACCAAGCCCCCTGAGATCCACCATACTGTACTGACTTCATTCTTTCATTCTTTTTTCTCCGCCATTTTTTCCATTGAGATTCACGTAGTCCCTAACAAAGCAACATACTACTAGCCAGGCAAGCACGCGCCATGGCCGTCCCATCGCAGCGCACGCTGCGCGTCGTCTGCATCTTACTCCTCGTCGCCCTCCCCTGCCTCGTCGAGGCAGCACGGAAAAAAAAGAAGGGGGACACGCCACCCTTGCCGTCCGTTCGCTTCTACAAATCAACAGTCAAAGTCTCTTACGCCGGAGTAGCGAAAATTCCCTCCACGGCCACGCAAGGCGCGGCTGTTCAGAGCCGACAAGTGCTGGAGAATCCAAGAAGTCAAATCGGCGGCCGCCGTCTATTGGAGGACGACAGCATTGATCTTGGAACTCCCGGTACCGATCCGTCGGCTACCGACCCTGCTGTGGAGGATGGGGAGCCGAACCTGGACTTTGATCCTCGGCCGCTGCTCCCGCCCGCGGAGCTTACCGGAGCCACCGCGGTTAGTACTCTCACCTTTCTGCGGTTCATGTTCTCGCGGTTGTCCGCGATTAGTTTCCTGGAATTCCTTCACATCAAGTCGCGGTTAGGATTCTCTCTCTCCGCTTGCATGCCGCTTATGCGAATATGACAGTCGCGGGCATCGCGTGTGCGGTCGCCGTGCCGAGCCACTCATCCAGGACCGTCGACAATAGCAGTGACATCCTGCCTAGAGAGTCCGTACCTGACATGTCTAATGGTCAGCGGGTTACTGGGCCTGATGAGTAGGCCAGCAAACTGCTCGCGAGATTACTAGGTACATTCGCAATAGGTACATTTTGCTCGCAGTTGGTTCGACCATTGTTGTGACGTATCGACTTTATGTGACAGTCGTTTAATTCGGAATCGCGACAGTCGCGACAGCTCTAGCTCCGACACATTGGCGGCCTAGAGGGATAGTTGCGCGTCGGCGTAGGTGTCAGCTTAGGTGGCGGCACAGCCTGCGACACCCATGCCGCATCAGAGGGTCGTTTTCCGTGTGACGCAGCACTGTCGCGGCACGGGGAGTCGCACGCTGTGCAGTATTATAATGCACGGGCGGTCATGTAACGGTTTTCGCGCTTGCTCTTTCTATGAAGTGTGGAGGGTTTGTTGTGAATCGGCGCTTACAAAGCGTTCGACGCGGAAGGGTCGTCGTACGAAGCACTGTCGTCTCGCGCGTTCACGTCGACTCAGAAACACGCGGAAGGGTCCTCATACGAAGCGCTATCGTCTCGCGCGCTCACCTCCCCGCTCTCATACCCTCCTTCCCTCCATTTCTCCCGCGCGCGTTTGTACGCGTTACAGGACCTCGAGGCGGCCAAGAAGAAGAAGCCCAAGGCGTTTCTATCGCTGACGGTCGCTCCCTTCTCGCCGTCCGTCCTCAAGAGCGGCGTCACGGCCAAGCAGACCGCCTCCACCGGCACCGCCGCATACGCAAGCGACTCGAGCGTGCCCGACCCGTCCGTGTGCGCCGGCAGCAACTACGTCGTGCAAGTCGTCAACTGGGGTAGGTTCAACCGGGCTCTCGTCACTCGCCTCCTTACTCGAACTTTCCCGTGCACGCCTCGTCTCTTTCCTCTTTCCTCGTCTCCTGCTTCTCTCTGCTCCCTCCCTCCGTCCTTCCTCACTCCTCTCCCTCTTCCGCCTTACTCCATTATCCCCGCAGCCATCGTGGTGTTCGACGGCAGTGGCAAGACGCTCACGGCGCCAGTGGCGCTTAACGAGTCGACTCATACTCCTCCTCCTCCTTTCTCCTCCCGCATTCTCTCTCTCTTTCTCCTTCTCTTCCTCCCCGCAGCCATCGTGGTGTTCGACGGCAGTGGCAAGGCGCTCACGGCGCCAGTGGCGCTGAACGAGTCGACTCATACTCCTCTTCTCCTCCTTTCTCCTCCCGCATTCTCTCTCTCTTTCTCTCCTTCTCTTCCTCCCCGCAGCCATCGTGGTGTTCGACGGCAGTGGCAAGCGCTCACGGCGCCAGTGGCGCTGAACGAGTTTCTGGGCGTGAACCCGTACCGCGGCACCACCGTGGGCGATCTCGTCACCAAGGCGTCGTGCGTGTACGACTCGGCGACCAAGCGCTTCTTCCTCTCCGCCGCATGGCTGGTACGGTTTCTCCTCTCCGCGCCTTGTTTCGTTGGTTCGGCTGCTTGTTTGGTCCGATCTCGTGGCCAAGGCGCCGTGCGTGTACGACTCGGCGACCAAGCGATTCTTCCTCTCCGCCGCATGGCTGGTACGCCCATTGTTTATTTCGTTGCAACGGCTGTCGTGGGTCGCATGATATGCTCTCTGTCTTTGGCTGGTTGTATTTGAAACAGATTCTCCTAGTTCTTGGCTGCTCTTACTCTCCACCGCACACGGCTCTTCATGCTCCCGCTTTCCTCCTTTTCCCCCTCCTTACACTTCCTCTTCCCGTCTATCTTCCGCAACAGGCGGGCAGCTCTAACGCGTACGACAAGTTCGGCCAGACGCGCACGGACAACAAGGGCGTCTCGCGCGGCTCGGGCATCGTCGTCGCGTCTCTGCCGCGAGAAGCCGCTCGACGCATGGAGCGTCTACTTCGTCGGAACCACCAACGAC